AGTGCTTTCGTCGCTCCGTCTCTCTCGCACCCCTACGGAACGCCCCTTGAGTTCGAGAGAGACAGATCACCGAAACCCGGGTTCGGAAACAGCCCGCGGCCGCAGAAGAATCGACTCAAATCACCCCATTATTCACTTCACAAGATGCCGTGCCGGGCGCGCGCCCTTCCCTAGCAAGGGGTATCGCCGCGCGGCGCGGCACGCCGGCCCTGGCGCGCCCTGGCGGCGCGGGGTATCGCCGGTCCGGGGCCGGGGATAATGACGATAACAAGGGCGGCCGGCGGCCAATCGGACGCTAAAAGGCGCTGCGCGCGGCCAATCGCCGACACTGCCTCGCTGCAACGCCATTGGCTGCGGGAAGCAGCGATTACCGCCGAAGCTGTCCACGAGCAATCCGGCTCGAAAAACACAATGTCGTGGGTTCACGTCCACCGCACACCCACCGTAATTTTGACATTCGTGTTCTTCCTGGTGCGTTTTCGTTCTAGTATTCCCGAGTACCGCTTCTACCGATGGACGAGCACTACGCACAGCACGTGGAACTAAATTAAACGGACTCAGCTTTTCTTTGTGATCCTTCTGATTGCGTGCCCGGCGGTGCCCGGTCAGTCCGGCTTGCTCCTCGTCCCGAGTCGTCCCGACCGCGCCGTCGTCCTTTTTATTCACTTCTCGGATCGATGGAGGAGTCCCTCCGGGAGCGGCGTCGGGAAGACCAAGCGTCAGTTTTCGTCGTTTAAAAATTTGAGAAAATTATATTTCCCCCGAAGACCAAGAAAGGGCAACTTGACCGTCGTAGTGGCGGTCAGCGCGCAGAGGAGAAAAGGAATTGGACTAAAGGACCGGCCAGAACTGCTGGAGCGCTAATGAATTCAAATCGTAAAGCATGCTGGGAGGGATCATCATTGAGGAAACAAGACTCTTATTTATAGTCAGAAAACGCGGGAGAAAGTGGCCGTTTGGGCAAGAGCCCGCGTGATCTGGGCGGCGCGAGTGTAGGATTTCATAGTAAGAAAAGATTCGAAACTGCAAAGTCCTTTCCGAATAAAAACATAGTAAAATTGACCGCGTGCAAAGCGGTGCTTGCGGCGCTGCGATTGAGCTGTGGTATCGACATTGAAGCACAGAGATAGTTTCGTGGAGTTGTTCTACAGAAAAGCCCTTGTCGTATTCTTTCACTCCGACCGCATCGCGTCAGCGGCGGGATTTTTCATGGTTACAGTGTGGGCGCAGAGAAATAATTTGGCGAGCCGCGGCCGCCCGTTCTTTGGCACCCTAGCAAATTGAAATGAATTGAGGATTTAATTGAAAGATATTGCGGCCGGCGTGGCCGCGCTGCCTCCGGTACACTATCAGCGGCTCATATCTCAGCAGCCGGGCCGGGCCGGGCTGGGCCCGGGTCTGGGTGGACGGGCCTGGAGCACGTTGGACGCAGAGCTGATGCGCGCTCCTTGAAAGGGGAAACGATTCGTTCTGAAGCAGAACTTACTGTTCAAGCACAGTAAGGTTGTGAGGAAGTGTGTGAGAACTATGCATACCTCAGTCCCAAAATCACAAAATGAACACCATGACGAAGCTTAGCGCATCGACGCGTCCCAGCGACGCCCAAAGTCACGTGGCCGCGATCCGGCGCGCGAGCCCTAACCTAACCTAACATTGACAGGCGGTAACTCACGGCCTGTCTTGTAAATCACGGAGCGGGCACGCCAAACGGCGTTGCGGCGGGGCGGGGCGGGGCGTGGCCACCACAACGCGGGCCCGCAGTCGTAAGGAAAAGGAAGGTGCACTTCCTTATGGGCGAATACAAGTGCGGGCCGTGGGAGAACAGCTCGTGGTCCGTCCCGAAAGTACGTCTAGTGTTTGGCATAGTTTTAAAGTTACCTTTTTTGATGAAACTATCCAATCCATGTCAGGCTTGTAATATGTTTGTTGATTTGAAATTCGATTTAAGAAAGTTTGGATTGAATGAACGATAAGGTGCATCCTGTTTGGAAGTTGCCTGCCCGTTAGGTCGGTTTGTCTCCTGAGGCAAACCTCGCAGCATTGAGAGGGGGATGCCAGGCCGAAGTGAGGTTGGCGCCACTGCGTCGTAGTTCACGGTTTCCCGGGAAGCTCCCCCTGCCGCCCCGCCCCGCCCCGCCCGTCGGCATTACCCCAACTTTAACAATACAAGTTTTACTTGCATAATGTTCCCTGATTGATGTGCCGGCTCTCAACTTTACCTGAGAGCGCGGCAAGTAAGAGGGATGAGCTCTCTCCACCTCTACAGGAGGCTTTTTTTTTTTAAAGTTAATTTTTTTCACCTCGCTCCAGTACATTTAATTTTGAGCCTGCGAAAGATTGCAGCTCGCCCCCGCGAGGCGGCAGGGGGAGAGTATTCCTGCGTGAGGCATAGCAAGCGAGTGAGGTGGGGAGTATCACGCCCCAGAGTGATTGCACGTGAATTACCGCACAGATTTTCCACGCGTTTTTGAATGGAAACCAAACTTAAATCAAACCACACGTTGCGACACCTTGTCATGATCTGTCTGGCGAACCATCTCCCTCGGTCGGAGTCCCTACAAAGCTGCAACAGTCACGGAGCCGTGGCGCTGCTTGCAGCCATCATCTCATCTGATTTGAGCCCCTTCCAGTCTTCCAGCCTCAGTCTTCCAGCCCTCCAGCGGCCAGAGGTCATTCCCCTGGACCTCTCCTATCTCGGCTCCCCGATCGCCGCGCTCGCCGCGCTGCTTGCGGGACCGGGGGGGGAAAGGAGGGAAGGGGGGAAAGGTATGCTGTCGTGTGTCACAGGGCGTCTGCTTCGATCAACAACACGAATAAAATACCCGAATATGTGGAGGGGGAGGGGGGAGGCCCAGCACGACACGACGCCTTACCGCACCGATTGACCTCGGGATATTTGGAGATCACGTACAGGCCTCACGCACCTCTATTTAAATGATTTTTCTCCAATCATCTCTTTAACATGCAAACGATCCCGAAACGAATATGTAAAGAGAGATGGCGGTCGGCGCGGTCGGCCCCGGGTCTGTCGAGCACAAAGGTCCTAATGGGCCGCTGGGCCGGGCAAGCCGGGCACTGGCGGCCAGCGCGGCCAGCGCGGCGGTACACTGTCGAGAACCCCGCGGAGTGCTGGAAAGTCCATGCCGATTCGTAATGTGTTGTAATACTGAGCAATCTTCATTTTGTTACCAAACGTCGTCCAGGGAGTCACGTCACTTTGGCTTGGCAGTGTATCAGGACGGGGCCCCCTTGTCCTGCGAGGGGCCCCGCGCCGTCTTTCTATGCGCCCCATGAGGTGGCTTGTGGCTCGGCTTGTGCCTCGGCCTGTGCCGTCCGCGCGAAGACGTACGACATGGAAGTGCCCCCTCCCCCTTCGCCACTTGCCTCCATTGTGTGTGAATGGGCATGAGAGTGGCTTGTCGGTATCTCGAAAAGTACCCGCGGGGCTGAGGGCGAGGCTTTAGGCGAGGCTGAGGGGGAAGGGACGCGTTTCGGAACGGATGCGGGCCCGTCGCGGCCCGTGTGCATATGTTTGTAAGATGCTCCGCTCCAACTCGAGCGTCATAACATGCGGATCCTAAAACCTAAAGCCGCTAAGGCTTTTCTTCCCAATTGGCGCGCAGTGACTTTGCACGCGGCGCGCGTCGCGTTGCGTCGCGTTGCGTCGCGTCGGCGGACAACTTCCTGAGGGCGGAATGCTGTTGTTGCAAGTAGTCCGGTCGGCCGGCGATAAACAGCGTGTATTATCTGTCGCGCTGGCCGGCTCGGAAAAAGAAGAGTGAGAAAGAGGGACGGGAGAAACGAACCGTGGGGCGAGGACGGTGTTGTACGCACGGGGTGTCCTGCCGTCATGCACGCCACGCCACGCCACGCGCCTGGATCTGGCCACGGGATTAGTGTCAGATCTAATCGGACTGAGCACGGAGCCCCAGTAGTGCCCCGCGACGTCCAGACGCTAGATTCCGGGCACCAGGACTCTGGCCACCAGGGCTAGGCACCCAGGACTCCGGCCACCAGGACGAGGGCCTTGCACACGCCATGCGGTCCTCGGCGTTTTCATCAAGATGGCAGGGACGCGCCACTGGAATGCAAGCCTTGACTGCTGGCAGGGCGGCCGCCCGGTAGATGCATTTAAAAAGTTAGCAGCGTCCATACCTTCATTGCCGGTTCTTGTTTTGGACTCGCTCGCCGGCCGCGCGACGCCAAGCCCAGGCCCTCGCCGGACCCCAGGAGCTGGACCATGTTGCCGTCATGTTCGTGCTACCGCAATTATATGTATATGCGCGCAATTAATTTTCAGTGGAGTATTAACTTTGGGCTCGCGGCGCGCACCGCTCGGCACGGTGGCGCCACTGGAGGCTCACTGGAGGCATACTGGAGCCACTGGAGGACTGCCAAGCGAGCGGCTTCCGTACCAATGCCGAGCCGAGGCCTCATCCCATATGCATAATCACAGTGTGCAAGCAGCTCGCGGCAATGAGCGAAGAAAGGGCAGAGCGGGGCCGGCCTTAAACTGTGACAGACTTATGCCGAGTTTTTGCCACCCTGACCATCATGAGCTGACTGAATGGCTAACTGCACCTGGCTCTTTAGTTCTAACCACTGGTAAAATTAGTCAATCATTTCCAATTGAAAAATGGCCGTCAGTACAAGGAAATTTCCACCGTGAAGGAGAGGTTCTCCACCCAACCCTTTGCAATCCTGCCAAAGAATTAAGAGTTACGCCCCTCGAATTTTGAACTCTGGCACCGTGAGCGCAGAGCGCAGGCCACCATCCGGCCGGAGCGAGCGAGTCCGCCTGCTGGGTAGGCCACCCATTCGACACCTCCGCGCTTCTTGATAGGTCCGCGAGAGGGCAGCACATTACGAGGGTGCCGCGACGCCGCGACGACCCCCAACTAGATAGAGTCCTATCTTAAAGGCCCTAAAGGATCCCAACTACTGTGGTATGCCATTTAAAAATCGACTTAAGTCTTATAGGGTGAAAGAAAATTCAAGACTACGAGCTGATCGCATTTTTATTGAAGGACATGCAGTCCAAACACATTACATAAAAATAAAGTATTAAAAATAGAGGTAATTATTTTTGGAAAAATATTTACTAAATGAGATGCAAATTTTAAAACTACACATGGCACATAAAATATAAAATGAACACTGCCAATAATAAAATGCAAAAATGACTGATAATAATACATCATCCACACTTTGGTTTCTTAGGAACACTCTAAAAAGTAACAATATCAAGATAAAATAGAAGCATCGATAAAAAGACGAGACAACAACAATAAATGTATGTTATGTAGTTTCCTTACAAGTGTGCCACCAGCAACAAGTTTAAAAATTCATAAATCATTGTGAGATGTAAAATAGTTAAAATAAAAACTGGTGCAACAGTAAATTTTTAAAGACAATTGATGAAGATCTTTACATTTGACCAATGAGGTCCTGGGTGCTCTCAGCAGTCACTGCTTCATCATCCTCATCTTCAACTATGTTCTTGAAGACGTTCCTCCCTGATGTGGCATTGGTAGTGGACGAAGAGGCCGTGGAGGAGGAGGCAGTGGACGCAGCCTGATTCGAGGCCCTGGCTCTCTTGGGCAGGATGGGGGGCGGGTTGGGGCTGTCTGGAGAGTCGAAGCTTGAAAATAAGTCGTGGCTTCGCCTCAATGCGGAGGTTGATGTACTCGATTCCTTGGCAGGCTCCATATTCACATCTTCGTCTGTATCCTCTTCTGTGTCCACAGTATAAGGATCTTCCCTGCTGTCTTCATCATCGTCTTCATCCATGGCTTCATCCTTGCCAGTACGTGGTTTACCTGTAAAACAGAAACATGTCTTGTAATGCATGCACCAGTTGCTTGTGAAAATTGATAAAGATATTAGCACTGTGACAATACCATCTGCTGTCTGAGGTCCTTTATACAGCTTAAGGTCCAGCATTTCTTCCAGTGTCTGAATACGTTCCTTTTTCGCATTCAACACCACAACAAACTGGCCATAAATTTTTTTCTCCCAATTAGCCTTTAGTTCTGACATTTCAATAACTCTAGTTAAAGCTGTGTCTCGTTCTAGAATATTCAAAAACAAGAAAAAACAAACAGTGATTAACAGACAGATTCAATACCTCTGAGAACAAAAACATAGGCAATTAATACAGCAACCAGACTCACCTTTGGTAAGGGACTCATTTGCAGTCTTAAATTTATTCAAATTTTCTTCAACAGTTGATAATAACTCTAGAGAGTTCTCTAGAACTAATTCAAAGGCATCAATTGGTTCTACCTGAAAAAGAGTTTGTCATCAATAAAACATTTTAATTTACATATGCAAGAAGGCAATGGTCATTAGTCAACACTATTTTCATGATGCTTTACCTTGCTCATTTTGACATGTCCAAGCTTAGCCACAAGACCTGATGCAAGGGGACGTTTCCAGGTGAATGTATCCGCAGTCATGGAAAATATGTAATTTTCACTTGATGGAGCTCGGAATGCAGCTCTCATATTTTCAATAAAAGTTGCTAGTTCAAGCTCATATTGGGTCACAAAGGATTTTATCTCACTCTCACTTAACTGAAACATAAATAATGCATGCACAAAATTAGTGGGTGTGTAAAATGCAACCTTCAAATTAACCAGCTGAAGGTTTCACTGACAAGAAAACCAAATATTCCATGAGTCCACAATTAGAACATTATTATCATGAACACAAAGGAAAAATGGGTAAAAGACAATGTCACAAAAATGAATACTAAAACTTGTTACTTGTACAGAATGTTTTATTTGTGTCAGGTAGAACATTTCTATAAATCAGACTAAAATGCCACAAAATAATGTGACCAGGAGGAGAAAAAACTTATCTAAAGTAATCTTTGCAAATTACTAAATTATATTTTTAAAAAAATCTTAAAGTAGAGCACAAGAACTAAAAATAAACAGTCTGTTCTCAAAAGAAAAGGGTCTCAACACTAAAAATTAAAATTAAATTTGTCACTGATTCATCCACATAATGATAAAGTTCCTCTTTCCCTCCAACAAAATAGTAGTCAAATGATAAACAATGTAAATGACTACTGATTTCAGCCATGAGCTAGCATAAACATACCTCGAATCACAGAAAACAAAGACTTACAACTGAGGAGATTTATAACAAAATTTATGACAAAAAATACAAAAGCAAAGCAGTTATAGGATAGCAAAAAATAGATGGTGCTTCCTCTTGTACATTTAAATCATAACACAAATGACTGTTCCTATCAGAAAATGAATTAACAGGCTCGCATTTACCCGTAAATAGTATTCGGCATTGAATTCAGAGTATCTGGGAGCCAAGGCTGAGTCGGTCCCTGAAGTGACAACATTTGAAGAGTGAAGGAGCTAACAGCAATTGACAAATAACTTGACTCCTCTGAACACATGCTATGCAAATGGTTATAAACTACTTGGCTTGCAATAATCTGTTGCCTTCAGGCTGAGCAAATTCTACATCATACATGACTTGTTGGATACGAATTTTGGCTAAGGCTTTCTGCTGATGAGAAAACCGCTTCAGAGATGCACATACGCTGCGGCAGAATAAAATATCTTCAGTTTCTTCCTCCAAACTCAGTGAAGGCCCAGAGTGGCTATCTGTAGCATAACTGTTGGAATATGCAATGTCCTGAAAACAAAGACACAAATGAATAAAAAGTTGAACAGTAACAAAACAACTAACATGACTGGTAGTTCCATCAATAACTTGCAAGTTTCTTGCCTTTCCATGTTGCCTCTCATACACATGAGAATCTTCTAGACTGGCGTCATCCTCATAATCAGCTGTGTCTGGACTCACAATGAAAGATTCAGTGATATCCTCGTGATCTTCGTGCATGACAATGCTAGGACTCACTTCCACTTGGACACTTCCGTTAGAATTCAACAACCAATCGGCATGAGACAGATTTGAATTGTAGCCACTGGGTTGAGCCTTACTTCTCACATCTTGTTTACGCTGCCCTCGTTTCCTGTAAAACAGATCGCATCAGTCCGCTTTTCCACTACAAGATTTTTAACATATGTTGAACCATTGTAACTTACGCTCTCATCTTAATGTGGGGAGCCAGCCACATCAACGGACCATACAGAGGCCAGCTTCGTGAGTGATTTCCCCGTGCCTCTGCCTCCTTCATTTTCCGTCGGTGTCTCCCAAAGTCAACTCTCAAGCGTGCCCATCTTACTTGGACATCTTCAGCTGCAATGAAACAATAGTTATATATCTAGCTCAGAATGATAAGATGTGAAATTTAAATTATCAGAAGACGCTTTACCTGTCATGTTTAAGGACTGTGCTATGACATTCCATGCTTCAGATTTCCGCTCTTCATCCTTGAACTCTTCTAAAGTTTTGTCATACAAGAATGGCTGGTCTTTGATCAGATTGATCAACTTCTTTGAAAGGTCAAGATCAGAAGTGCCCGAAACCTCCATGGTTCTTCACTGGTGTTCACAATACTCAGTGTTGTCTTAATAAGAGAAGTCCGAAGAGGTAGAATTGTGGATACCAACCGGCGGTCCTCTTCCAATGAGAAAATTTAAGTTTCCTAATGGTAAATAGCTAGAGCCTAGTGATTGATTACCTCTCCAACCCAAGCAGCCTCTCGATGCAGGAGACGGAGTTTCACAGCTGACTCGGGGCCCCACTCAACTTGTAAAATGCACTTCAGTTTAGAGGGCCTAACTTCGATTTTGGTATGTGTAATATCAGTCATGATTCTTCCAAATTTTCCTACAATTCATGACACCACCAACAAGATCTTAAGGTTATGAAGTGCTCCACAAAGACGGCTTCTCATTCACATTCACTTAACGTTCTGCTGAATTTCTCATGTGGTCTCCATTGGTCACGTGACACTCACACCGCCTTCCTCGGCTTGTGTCTGCGACGATACCCCGCGCCGCCACTTCATCGCGCGTCTGTACTCCGCGAGGACAGCGCCAATACTCCGCGCGGGCAGCGCCACCGCTTCACCGCGTCGACACCCCATGCACCCAGGTCCACTCCAGCGTCGTCTCTCTCCCTCTCATTTGTCCCGATCCCTTCACTAGTTACTGATTATTTTCGACATTGACTTTTCGGAAAACTTTGATCAAAGTTCTTGATACTTAGCTGTTCAAAATTCGTTTATTTCTCCGTTTTTTCGTTTTGTTTTTTGCTTGTTTGCCGGCCGGCTGGCGCCATGCTGGCGCATCGTGCGCAGCGTGCTGGCCGTATCGCACTGAGCATCTCGCGGGCAGCTGGCCTGGCCGACTCCGAAGTCGTTGTGCTTCCCTCTCCCTCGTTACTCAGCGAGAGTGTCGCGCGGGAGCGAGGGAGACAGAGCAACGTATTTGGAATCGGCCTACAGGACCGCGGCTCCGCGGCTCTAATAGAGGTGATCCTGCTGCTTAGGCACGGACGAGCGGTCTGATCCTGGCCTGGCGGCTCTCTCGCTCTCTCTCTCTCTCTCTCTCTCGCTCTTTCGGTCGGCTTGGCCAGGGTGCGACCAGACAGCTTTTATCCGAAGGTGTTGCCGTTGTCGCAGAGGGTATCCCCCTTCCCCCTCCCCCTCGACGTCACCGCGACTCCCTGATGACGTCACGCCGCCGACGTCACGTCCAAAAAGTGACCTAGAGTCCTACAGCGACGCTGCACGATGCAGCATCATCATCGTCATGCATCCCTGCGGTGCAGCGCTCGATTTTCTTTTAAAAGCGGGGGAGAGAAAAAAAAAGGAAGCACTTTGTGAAATTGGTTGCCCCCATTATGCGCCAAACTCTAACTTTTTTGCTAAAAAAGCAATTTGGCAAATCAATCACCCCACACGTGCGATGCGAGAGCCGCACCTCGGACGCCTGTCTGGGCATTTCACGACGACAATGGCTTCTCCCCGATTGACCTAAATTTTTTCCCCGCACTTCTCTCCCTCGTCGCATGACGATATGTAAAACTGCGCACGCGGTGGTGACTCGCCCAGACGCCCATCTCACTCGCAAACGAAAAAAAAAGCAGACGCCTGTCTTGTCTGTGCCGCCGCGACCGGCGCCGGAAAAAAAAGACAAAAATCGCCAACGTCAGCATTGTAATTCGCAGCCAGCAGAGTATTTCCGTCATTTTATGAACAGAAGCCCGTGATACAGGAGTTCCGTGGTTCCGTGCGGCGCAGTGGAGAGAAAAGGAGGGGGGAGGGCTGCATCTTTCTTTGTTGAATGGCATCATGGCTGTTAAACTTCTAGAGACTCGCCAGTCAGGACGAGGAAGCGGAGAGAGAGAGAGAGAGAGAGAGAGAGAGAGAGAGAGAGAGAGAGAGAGAGAGAGAGAGAATGTGTGAGTGTGTCCGCACCACAACCCGTGTCCCAAGGGGGTGGCAGCATAATAATGGCTATGCTGTATCGCAGCGACTCAAGTACCTGCAAGTGCGCGCTCGCTGTGCACATCACAATTGCGCTGCCAGCTGACGGGTGTAGTACAGTGTAGTACAAGCAGAAGAAGAGGAAGAAGGAGAAGGCGCTTCCCGGACGCCGCGCCTCAGAGTGTTTTCAATATTGCACTTACTTTGTTGCGTTTCGTTCCTCTTTCGAACCCAACCCCACACCGGTGGGTCGGTTTCAAAGGCTCGCCCAGCGGCAGCCGCACCGCCACCACACTGCGTGCAGCAGCGCCAACACCTGGGGCGTCTGTCGGTTTGACCCGAACGTCTCCGGTCCCTCATTCCCCACTGTTGTGTTGGCAGCGGCATTCTAAATGGCGTCTGCGGTTCTTCAGACGTCGGTACAGTATAACAAAAACAGAACACTAATTGAATGAAGCCACCCTCACTTTGCGTGTGCGCTTTGCGTCGCTCGGTGCGGCAGCGTGCCACTCGTGTCGCGGCGAGCAAACACAGCGGCACTTGGCCGTGTTGTTGTGTTGCCTGCACTGCTAGCCGGCCGAATCCGCAACGGCACAGCACGGCACCCCACGGGCGTCCCCGCAGGCCGATGCCGAAACATCCGTGCTTCCATCGTTCTGTCCCTGTTCCTCTCGCACTCGCATGGGGCGCTCCGTGGCAGTGCGAGAGAGACAGAAGCACCGTTCGGAACGAGCCGCCTGGTCCGCAGGGTGCCGCAGGGTGCCTCGGCGGCGAGGCAGAGGAGGTCGTCAACATCTCCCAGGGGAACGCTGGTTCGCGCTGTGTCAGCCTGTTCGAGTCCTGTTTAGCGACTGGGGCTCAAAACGCATGTAGAGTTTTGGCCGCCTCCACCAGTCGTCGGGCGAATCCACAGTGCGTCAGCGCTGACGGCTCGGCTGCCTTGCTTCGCTTGCTTCGCCACCCTCGCCGTGCTAATGACAACAGTGACGAAGCGGCCCGTGGGACCGCGACCGCGGCGCTGAGTGCGGGGCAGCGCCGCTTTTAAAAGCACTTGTCGGTGACACACGCACCGATCGGCTTATTTTTTGGAGGCCCTCGACGCCCTCGACAAGGTGGCATGAGAGTCCGTGGGACCGCGTTGCCTGTCCTCTTCGTCGGTCGCTGTCTCTTTCGCACTCACGGGGCGTCCCGCGACGGTGCGACAGGGACAGAGCGACTCATCAGTCGGCTGCGCAGCGCGACGCAGCGCTAAGCCAATCAAGGCCATTATTTGGGTGCAGTGGCTGGTCGGGCCGGTGGTGGTTGCGTGGGAAGTGGGACGCTCTTCAAGCGGAGGTGGCAAAGCGAGCGCCCGAAAGCCCTTGATTAGAACTGCTACTATACTCTGCGGAGGCGGCGCGGCCGGGCTGTTGCGTACGGACGTCCGGCCGGGTGGTGATCCGGCCGAACACCGAACGTGATCGTCACGCATGGGGCCGGCCGGCCCAGCGCGTGCTCACTGCCGAGCGACGCGTGCGGACGACGCGCCACGCGCCCGCCACGCGCGTGACGCAACAGGCACCATGATTCTGCGTTTCGGGGCCGTTTAAGTGATTTTAGGTGTGTGTGTGCTCTTTCATTCACACGCGCGCACGCACACACACACGCGCGCTCACTTAATTGGCCCGGACTTTAAATCTATTTACGCCTACGCTCCGCGCCGTGCTCGTGGCCGTCCTGGTCACCGCCTTGTTTGTTTTCATCGCAGCTTATCCACCGGCCGTGCTCTGGACGCTCTCTCTCTCTCTCTTTCTCTCTCGTGCGTTATTTGTTTCCATCGTGAGTGAGTTGCTTTTGAGGACCGGACCGCCATTTTAAAGGACCATTTATCATGCCGTGCTTGGCGTGCTTGCATCTGTCATTCATTGTCTAGCTTCTCCCCTCCCCCCCTCGCCGCGGCAGTAGCGCGGCGCGAGTGGCCGCCGGGGTTAGTTTTGTGAGGGAGTGCTTTAGAGAGCGGCGGTACAGTCGCGCACGAAAGCGGTTTTTGTTTTCGTTGGCAGGGGGCGGTGTGGCGTCACACTGCAGGCTGAACCTATATCCAATACCTCGAGATCTGTATCCCATAGTCACTTCCCAGTTGCACTTCGTCGTTGGTTTGAAAGCAAAGAAAGTCTTACTGCACTGCACCACTGCAACGAGAACACCAACATTCGCCACTGCAGCAGACTGCCTAGTGCAGTGTGGTAATGAGGTGAGCCTCCAGACAGGCAGGGAGGCGATGCTGCAGTGTCGCGGCTCGGAGTAAACCAACGCGCACCCGCGTTGCCGGGGTGATTTATAAGAAAACGCAATGTTCGACGCATTGACGGGGAAGGGAGGGGAGGGGAGAGAGGGGAGAGAGGGGAGGGCGAAGGGGAGTCCGGCAGTGCAGCCCCGCTCCGCCAGGTGCAGAACGAAACGTCAACCCCATTCCATTCGGAAAGCTTTCGCGCCGCGGGGTCGTGATTCTTGCGGGGGCCGGCCCTAAATGGCGTGCACGGGCCCCAAGCACTGAGAGTCACTTCCGCCGCTCTGTCTCTCTCGCACACGTTCATCCCCCTCCATGACTGTGAACTAGGCGTGCGAATTTCAACCCAATTTTAAAGAGCCAGGCAGCCCCCTCCGCCGGTCTAGCAGCCGACCCCTGGCCGACCCCTCCCAACCTGCCGTGAAATGTGTTTGTGCAGCGTTTGGGGCCCGGCAGGCCGGCGGGCCGGGGCAGGCCCAGCCCGATTATCTGCTCTTTATCCACGGCGATAGATTACGTCTCAATGCGTAGCCAGCGTAGCCAGCGTAGCCCTGCGAGGCAGACCCCATTCCGAACGTGCTCTCTGTCTCTCTCGTGGGGCGTTCCGGCGTTCCGCAGGGGTGCGAGAGAGAGATCGGGGTCCTTGCCACGGCCCATTATTCTGCGATCGCGGGGGTCATCCAGGTGTTTGCCTTCTCGCGTGCTGCGTCACGCGGCTTCGTCACGCCCGGGACACGCGTGACACTCTCTCACACACGCGCACACACTGTTTTTTTTTCGGTTATTTTTTCCGCGACGTTGTTACGAAAAAATTACAGTATTCGCAGATTCGGTAGCGTAAGTGCAGGCAGCCCGACGGTGCGGCACACAAAGCGGTGCCTTATTCAATACCGCGCGCCACCCCCCATGGACCCCACCCCGCCCCGCCTCGCCTCGCGCAGCCCGCCAACATGCGCTGTGGTGCCGTGATCGGGGATTAGCACAATCCGGGAATTGGGACATTTTGGTGCCAAACGAAATCGCCACACGTTGCAGGGGCACGCACGCATGCACACCAACACACGAATTTTACCCTCCCAAAAAGTACTAGGGGTAAGTTGGGGTAAAGTACAAATACAGATTTAGAAAAGTACAACTCCGTAGCTATGGCACACTGTCGACATCCATTTGAACGATGTAAAACTCGCAGATTTTCATGTGTGCCAGGGCTTTAAAAATTATGTCCCCAACATACCACTCCTCCTCCTCCTCCCACCACCACCACCACCATGAATATTGGCCGCACGATTGGCCCGATGGCCGGCCGTGCGCGCTCACACGTCATCCGCTGACTTAAAGAGGATTATCATAAACGCAACATGCATTTTGGGGCTTGTCGCTCCTCCCCGTGGGGGTCAAGATCCACCCCAACGCGGCCGCCCTACGCCAGATCATCCCCCCTTCCCCCTTCCACCCCGCCGGCGTGTCAGTCACCAAGGGTGAGCCGGGCAGCGTCGCAAACAGGCGGAAAACAATTCGTCTATAAATATTTCACCGCATTTGTGAGCAAACAGCCCATGTACGTGTGTGTGGGTGGGGTGATGCGCATGTGTGGTGGTGTTTGAACGTGTCCATGTGTGTGCGTGTGAGTGTATTTGATTATCAAAAAGTATTTGAGAGTGAATATTTGATTGGCCCCGAACGAACCGCGTGAGGGGTTGAAGTGTGTAAGTACACCGTGCACCGCGCGTGGTGGCACACGGCGGCCGCCCTGCACTGTCAACTCCACTGCAAAAGCGATACGCTCTTCAGTTCACAGCAGCGCGCGCCATACAGTGTAAAATAAGGAAAAACTTTCAAAGATCGATCGATCACGGAATGTGTCAAAATGTGGCTCAGCTTAGGTATCTTTGAATGATTTGGAACGATTCCACTCTGTCCAGTGCTCCATTTGTGTTGTGTGCGCTGCTGGGGCGGGGCCGACGCGCGAAAGCTTCACTCCGTTAGCAGAGACACGCCCCGCGCTGATTCGATGTGCCGAGTGCGAATCGGCGGGAGGCCATTTCGACCATTTAGACCATTTAGACCCATTTAGATCATTAACGGCGGGAAAGGTAACCTGGTTTGAAACCGCCAGTGGGCCAGTCTTGGGAGGGGCCAGAGCGATGATGGTGGTGGATGGGCGGCGCACCCCGCGGGCCGCGCCACCCCGCCCCGCCCCGCCCCACCCCCAGCCACCCCACTGCAACAAGCATCCCCATCTGGCGTTGCTCGCCCCGCCGGGCATGCACTGCCGTGGCACTGCCACCCGCTGCAGGGCTGGAGGGCTGCTGCACACTGGTTCCGAGAGTCTCTTTCGTCGCTCTGCCTCTCTCGCACCCCTCCGGGACGCCCCATGAGTGCGAGAGAGACAGAACGACTATACACTCTGAAACATCCTGTCGTCGTCAAAGTCTGGAAACTCGGGGATTGGTTATCGATTGGTCGATTCAGAGGCATTGGCGTTTCCCCGCGCGAGGAAAGAGGCAGTAAGCTTTATGGCGGGAAATGCCATAACCCCTGAAACTCCGCGGGGGCGATCACAGGCATGCAAATGAGGCCTATTTTCGGGGGTTCAGGGTTCGGGGTGCTGGGTCGCGGAGAGGGTGCTTTTTGTATCATTAATAATAGTTCTCTTTTTTTCTAAATGCACAGTTTGACACTCTTTTACTGATGAACTTATAACGTTGAACACAGTTTAAATTACCTCTGCTGATAAAATTTCTTTTGTGCACTTCCGTTCTTTTGTCAGATTATAAGTGATTTACGGTGTGGCCAGGTTCTAATGTTGTTTTCTTTACGCAGAGACAAGACAGTTGCACGCCGTTCTGGCGGCTAGCCTGATCGTCGCCACGCTCCGCCACGCCCCGCGCTGCCAAGAGGCCTATCAGGCACTTGTCGTGCGTGCACCACCGCGTGCGCCACCGCGTGCGCCACGCCACTGGCACGCCATACCCGACGCGTGCCCGTGGCGTGCCCGTGGCGTGGCAGTGGCGTGGCAGCGGCGTGCCGCCCCCGCACGCGTGGGCCGCGCCACGTGTCGCCCAGCATGCTCAGTGGTCGCTCTGTCTCCCTCGCACTCACGGGCCGCCCCATGGGGGTGCGAGAGGGACAGAGCGCCGCCTCGCCGCGTGCCGGCCGGACTCTTTTAACAGCAATTATCCGCCAATCGCGGCGTGATTCGGGACACGCGCGGCTCGCCGCCGATACGGCGGGGAAGACTTGCTTGCGTGCACTCGCACTTGCCACTGTCACTGCGAGCGCGAGAAGAATTAATCCACATTTTAAAACCACGAGGCTAGCTGGACTAGCTGATGCGCTGTCGAAAACCAAAGTGGTTTTATTTTGACGCCCACGCTTTTATGACCGTCAATGTCCTCGTTTGGTCAGTGCGGCAGCGGCAGACGCGCGGTCCTCTACGAACTCTTTGTATCGAGGAGCAATTGAAATAGTGCCCAAGTAATGTAATTAATTTTTTTAACAGTGTGCTGTTGTGAGGCGTTGGGACCCACTAAGGCTGCCCACTGGCACTGGGGGCGTTCTTTCGCTCAGAAGACTGATTCTGTCTTCTGGTCCACTGTGCGGCGGCCCGGGCGGCCCGGGGCGCTGGCCCTTCACTCCCTTCATCTTTTGTGTGGACCGGGCGGACCCGGCCCGCTGCTTTCTATTTATGGCTCGCAGCGGGGGTCGCCGGCGACGGGGCGGCCGGCTGCCGCGTCCTGGACTGGGGGTTGGCTGGGGGTTGGCTGGGGTTGGCGTCGGACCGCTAAATACGATGACGTTTCGGCCGCGCGGAAGCTCTGTACAGGATTTTGACTTTGGTTTCGACTGTCGCTTTTGGGCTGCAGAACCACTTTTGCTATCTAGCTGCGGGTAGCAGACGCGCGTACCGGGCGTGCTCTCGTAGGCCTCCGCCGTTTAGATCTCCAGGCCGCTCGGCCCGCCGCCAGCACCAGCGGGGCTGCGGGCACCGACCCTGGACAGCCCGGACAGCCTGGCCGTCGTGCCGTGGCCAGACCTTGGCCGCGCAGCTGAGGACTGGGCCGAGGGCAGGCCAACTGGGGGTCAGATTGACTGACAGCCTCCCCTACCCCCACCTTGCTCTCAAAGGGAGCAGGCAGCAACGGCGCGAGCTTGAGCGCGATAATTTCCGAGTCCCCCTTGCCCCTCCCCTCCCCTGCCCCTTGGTCCCCAGAGTCCCGAGGGGGATGATTGGCTGCAGGGCATGGCCAGGCTCGGCCCGCTGGTGCCGCTGGTGCGCAGAGTGCTCCTGCACTGCACAGCGCTGGTACATGTGAGACATGCGAGGCTGTCGCCCGAGGCTGTGGAGGCAGTAGATGCGGTTGTGTGTTTGATCTGCAGGGATCATCCCTCGTTTGTCCGATGGACAGCAGGCCGCGCCGGTCGACGCGCCGCACAGAGTACTCGTGTTACAAACAGGGCATTCTAAAAGAATGAAGATGAGAGGAAAAAACAACTGCGGCAACTGCGCCTTTCAGGTTTTGTGGCTGATATTTTGCTCGTCGCGTTTGAGTGAAGGATATGCAAGCAGGGACAGAAACGAAAGTGTATAAAATTATGGTTTTATTTTAACAATGAATAATGCAACACATATTCAAAAAATATTCACTCTATGCACTTATTTGATTTCGCACTTATACAATATGACTAGACAAAATAAATGAAATAGTTACGCCGTCAATGACATCTTTTACAAACATTAAGTATCTTAGCCGCTGGAGATTTGAAATTACAGCTGTTCGAATGGAGAAACATTCATAAAACAAGAAAAATATAGAAGAAGTTCTCACACGCCTTGGAAAGTAAATGCTTTTAAAAAAAATTCATTTACAATTTTCTTAATGTAGGTTTTTCCTGAAGTAACGACTTACGGCTTCAAAATACTGCACTCTTTCTGTACATTTTATTATTAAATATACCCAGAAATAACTAAACTTAGGGCACGCTACTTCCTGTAAAAGTAACCAAGCCAATAAACGTCTATGCTTTGGTACACGTATATCACAATTAAACAAGCACTATAGATTATGCTTAATTCCATACATTTTGCAGCGTCTTGTCCGATGCAACAACCTTTCTTCCCATGACGGACTCCTAATGATGCTGAATGGCAGAAATGCATCCGTACTAGCAGCGCTAGCGGAGCTCACATTGAACCAACAACGCGATACAACCCCTTTTGTCAAACCGACGGACAAACTTCGATTTTCCCTCTAGTTTGTGATCAAAATTAGACTTAAATTGACGTGGGTTTGACAGGCATCGACGGGACAGTCTCTAACTGGGGACTATGAATTGTTGGCAACCCGCGGCGAGAGCATCACCGCAGCGCCGCCGTCCGCTGCATGCTGGCCCTGAACAGCATGGCTGGGTGGCTGCTGAACCTGCCTGCGTGCTGCAGGTCGTGCAGGCCGTGGTGCTGCGGGTAGTACGAGCCGTAGTGCATCAGGGACTCGTCCACGTCGCCGAACGCGCCGAAGGACTCGCCGAGGCCGAGGCCGGCGTGGACCTGGTGCGGCGACGGCTCCGTCGGGGAGCCGGCCAGTCTGCAGGGGCTGCCGTACAGTGGAGTGGAACTTCCGTCGGACTTGACGGGGCTGCCGAAGTGAGGGCTGGGGACTCCGTCGGACTTGACGGGGCTGCCGAAGTGGGGGCTGGGGACTCCGTTGGACTTGACGGGGCTGCCGAAGTGAGGGCTGGGGACTCCGTCGGACTTGACGGGGCTGCCGAAGTGGGGGCTCGGGACTCCGTCGGACTTGACGGGGCTGCCGAAGTGGGGGGTTGAAACGCCGTCAGACTTGACGGGACTGCCAAAGTGCGGGGTCGAAATCGAAACGGCATCCGTCTTGCAGGGGCTGCCGAAATGGGGGGTTGGCACCTGGTCCACCTTGCAGGGACTGCCGTACTGAGGCGTCGAAACCCTGTCCGGCTTGCAGGGGCTGCCGAAGTGGTTGGAGCCCTCGTCCAGCGTGTAGGGGCTCCGCGCGGGAGACATCTGCTGTAGGTGGTCCTGGTTGTCGGGGAGGTAGCCCAGGCCGGCCATGTCCCCCATCGGGCTGTACGGCATGAACTGGTGCGGGCCGGCGCGGCGCTGCTGCGCGATGGCGCAGCTGCCGCTCGTCGAGGTGATCATGTTGCCCGCGTCGCCGCCCACCGTCACCGTCACGTTGCCCACGCTCAGGGTGACGGGCGTGGCGGTGCGGCCCTCGCGCATGGACTGCACCGTCTGCGACATGGCCCAGATGTAGTTGTGCGCGAAGCGCAGCGTCTCGATCTTGGTGAGCTTGGTGTCCTCCGGGAAGGTGGGCAGCACGCAGCGCAGGCGGTCCAGCGCCTCGTTCAGGAGGTGCATGCGGTTGCGCTCGCGGTCGTTGGCCTTCATCCGGCGGCACCGCTTCAGCCGGAGGACCTGCCGAGCAAGGACGAACTTAGTGCGCTCCAGAGTGGACTAATTTCAAAAACGGAAGCGGGCCCGCTTTCTTACCTGCGTGGGGCTCTTGGGCCTGGTCCTTCTGGTGCGCGTGCCGGCCCGGCGCGCCTTGGCGGGCTTGGCGTCCCCGAAGGACGCCATGTCCTGCCCCTCCGAGCTCGCGCCGCTCATGCAGCTCTCGTGGCTGCTGTGGCTGCTGTCCAGCGCGCCGCGGAGCTCCTCCAGGGCCAGCTCGTCCATGTCCAGGAAGCTCTCCTCCATGTCGGACTGGTCGTGGTCGGAGTCCAGGGACTCCATCTTGACGGGGATCTCGGACAGGCCGAAGCGGAGCATGCTGGGGGAGAAGAGGACAAACCGTTAGTAAAGCAAGTTTTCCTCGGTTTCCCCGGCGGAAAAAAATCACCCCCAGCAAGTTTTGTTCGGTTTCCTAGGCGGGAAAAACCACCCCTGCCGTCCTGGCCGCGTGGCTGTGTACACTGTGAGCAGGGCGAAGCAGGGCGCGTCGGGCTGACATGTCCTGGTGCGATAGGGATTAGCGATAACGTATCTGCTATTAGCCCCAAGGGCGTACTAGCCGGCATTAGCCCCCCCAGGGCCCTTTACTGGGAGCATAGACCCCGCTGGATAGGAAAACCCAAAATATTTTTCAAAAAGTTTGGGAAAAACATAGCACCCCAAACGGTGTTTGGAAAAGTAATTCACCCGAAATGATGGGGGTACTCTTCAAAACCTTGACCTTTCCCGGCTGCCGACACATAAACGCGCACTTTCAACGCTGTACTGGAATAAGACCCCACCCCGAATGCGCCGCGCCGCTTTGCTCCCCTGGTCCTCACCACGTTGCATATGACGCGTGGTATCCTGGCCCGAAACCTCAGTAAACCCCTTGCATGCCCGGGCCTCCGCTGGCGGCCCCTCACCCCCTCCCCACCCCCTGCGCCGCGCCGGAAAGTTCCCTCGCCTTCCCCCGCCTTCCCCCCGCGGTGGCCCGCCCACGTGGGATTTGCGGCCCCGGGAGGGCCCCCGTCCCCGGCCCTGTTTCTCGCCCCCATTTCCCAACCCCAGGGGTGCAGAGAGACAGGCCATGCCCGGCGGCCTCCGGGACCCCCCGGCAGCCCCTGCCGCGCCTTTAAAACCCCCGGCGGGCTTTGCCCCGGCCTTGCCCGCCTTCTCCCGGGGTTTGGCCCGCCCATGCGTGCGGATCGACTTGCGCGACGAAGACGATTCGGACGCCCGCTTTTCCCACGCCTCGTTCTTTGAATGACTCGGGCCCTTTGGGCGGGGGGGTGGGTCGGTGGGGCCGCCGCCAGGGTTACATAAGAAAAAGACAGAGTTGAAAAAAGTGCTCCCCGGCGGCTAGGGAGTCCCGTGGGAGGCTGCAGGGGGGCTCCTACAACCACCGGCGGGCGGTTTGGGCGGTCCCGTAAAACGCAGCTTGCGCGGCGGGACTGCCTCTCCACACCGTAACGGGACAGCCCCCTGGCGGGTAGGAGTCCCGAGCGCAGCTGTGTGGCGGGACTCCAATCCCACACCGTAAGGGGCACAGGCGCCTGCGGGTAGGCAGTCCCGTAGAACGCAGCTGTGTGGCGGACTGCCTACCCCACACCGTAAGGGGCACAGGCGCCTGGCGGGTAGGCAGTCCCGTAGAACGCAGCTGTGTGGCGGGACTGCCTACCACACGTAAGGGGCACAGGCGCCTGGCGGGTAGGCAGTCCCGTAGAACGCAGCTGTGTGGCGGGACTGCCTACCCCACACCGTAAGGGGCACAGGCGCCTGGCGGGTAGGCAGTCCCGTAGAACGCAGCTGTGTGGCGGGACTGCCTACCCCACACCGTAAGGGGCACAGGCGCCTGGCGGGTAGGCAGTCCCGTAGAACGCAGCTGTGTGGCGGGACTGCCTACCCCACACCGTAAGGGGCACAGGCGCCTGGCGGGTAGGCAGTCCCGTAGAACATAGCTGTGTGGCGGGACTGCCTACCCCACACCGTAAGGGGCACAGGCACCTGGCGGGTAGGCAGTCCCGTAGAACACTGCTGCGTGGCGGGACTGCCTACCCAGCAGGCGTCTGTTCCCCTTACGAGGGTAGGCAATCAAGCTACGCCGCTCTGTACTGCGGGACTTTCTATCCTACACTGTAAGGGAGCACAGACGCCGATGTCCACTGGCTTACGGAGGGTCCCCGTTGGTCCCCAAGTTAGTCCCCGGTCGGCTGCTGGTTGCACTTGCCGCTCCGGGGTACACAGTCGCAGGGGTCCCGGACCAGGCGGCACCATGCAGGCACCATGCAGGCACCATGCAGGCCGCGTCGTCTCGTCGCTCTGTCTCTGTCGCACTCACGGGGCGTCCCGCACGGGTGCGAGAGAGAAGAGCGATGAAACGACGCTTTCGGCCGGCCGCACCGCACGGTATCGCACCACCGCCTCAAAGAGCAGCAAGAGCAGCGAACGCGGAGAGGTCCGGGGAGAGAGAGGGAGAGGAAGGGAGAAGGTTCGCGATGGGGGCTGGAGATAGAGCCTCTTGTCTACACAGGCCGCGTGTGGTTCTATCCACGTCACCCCGGTCCGTCTATCTATCTATCTGCCTATCCGTCGTCTATCACGCAAAAGTGGCGAATATAATGCGTCGGGCGGCAGCGGCAGGGGCGGGCAGGGGTCGGCCGGGGCGATGCTATCGCCACCATTAGCCATGCCAGGTAGTAATACGACATTAATGACGCCGGCGCGGACGACCACGACGAGCAGACGAAACATACCGGTGAGTTTGAGTTTCTATTTCGGCCTGGGATTTCAGGGTTCAAAGCGTAGCCCGTGCCAACCTGTCATGCTGGCCCCAACAGCAGCAGCAGCAACACCAGCCACCATTTGAAAGTTTTTGCTGTCAAGCGCCGCGCGGGCGCCGCCGCGGCCCGCCACACATACAATAGGCAGTTAATTTTATGGCTCCACGCAGCACCTCGCGAACTGGCAAGTTTATTTAAAGGGCATTAGGGCTATGGCTGCGTGGGGGGAGAAGGTGGAGGGGAGGGGAGGGGAGGGGTGGCGACGCGAGGGTGGGCGGCAGCAGCAGCTGCAGCGGGGTGGGGTTTGAATGTCGTGTCGCCTCGATACGTGAAACGTCAATGACACGCACACTTTCTCTCTCTCTCTCTCTCTCTCTCTCTCTCTCTCTCTCTCTCTCTCTCTCGCGCGCGCGCACACACACACACACACACACACACACACACACACACACACACACACACACGGCCACGCAGGCCGCGCTGTCCTAGTGTAGTACCACCGCCATATCGTCTGGCAGGTGCCGTGATTTCGAAAATTGCCCCTAAGTCTGGCAGGACACAGCTTGTGCGCGCAGGCCGCAGGGCCGGCTGACGGACGAGGGCGATAGGGATCGACGTTCGAATAACAGCTAACTTCTCGAAAACAAAACTATGTACGGTCAAACTGCGGGTAGGTACGGCCACGGTAACATCGGAGGGTGAATCGCCGGCTCGGCCTCGGATCCACAGTTCGTCGGTCTGTCGATCCGTCCTCCTCAGCCGGCTGCCCGAAGCAGGGAGTCTAAGACGCCAGGTGCGCGCCGCGCGTCTCGGCAGGGGGTCGCGGCCTCACGGCGTCTCCAAGCCAAAAGGGGTGGAGCTCGCCACCTTCATCATAGAGTACAACAGAAAAGAAGTCACCAGTGCACCCCACATCCCGACCCTCGTATGACTTGTCCCCCCCCCTCCCAATGTCGGTCAGAGCCGCGCTGCCGGCCGAGACAAAGGCACCATTTATCCTGCACAAAGCAGGCGGCGACCCCCGAGCCCAAGTACGGCGAGCACCAAGTACAGGGTGCGTCGCAGCGCGTCACCCCCTCCCCCATCTATTTGGTCCACCAGCCTCGTTCGGAAATGACAGTCCAGAGTCCTTCTCGTCGCTCTGTCTCCCTCGCACCCATGCGCCTCGTAGCGCGAGAGAGACAGAGCGACGAAAACGACTCCCAGAATCAGTGTGCTGGTCCCGCCATCTGCGTGGGTGGCTGCAGCGGGGCTGCGGTGCGGGACGCACCTTGTGCAGCACACTGGTGGTCTCCTGATTGACTAGCAGTGCTGCAGCGCTGCGGCCTGGGGTGGCGGGGCAGTCAAGGACCAGCCGGAACACTCGGCAAAGTCACCCCCAGCTTGCCTCGATCGCCCTTCAATCGGCGTTATTTTAACCTTAAAATCTCGACCTATCGATACACTTGGATCGATACCCAGCGCGCCGGCCGGAAGGCACCTATGCCCAGGGGAGGATGAGTGGATGGGGAAAAACGGCATGCTAATTTAATGTTTTGGGTCTTGAAATTTATCACGCCACCGATACACGCTTTGCCCGTTGTTTGCATAATTTGAAGCGCGAGAGGCCGCCGGTTGGTTAGCGGCGTGACCACACTGTAGGGCGGCTCGCTGGCCCTCCACACTGTTGGCCCCACACCCGTCGCGACCTAATGAGCAGGGGGAGTGTCACGGCTCGTCACGGCTCGTCACGGCCTCGTCACGCGGCCAACGGGATTCGTCACAGCGGAGTATGCTAATCAAGGGGGTGCAGCGTCATAATCATGCGGTGTTTATTTGCGTAGTGCCGACCGAGCGCGCTGCAGTCGTCCGTCTCTCTCGCACCCCTTCGGAACGCCGCGTGAGTGCGAGAGAGACGGAGCGAAGTGTCGCGCTGGAGCCGGCGGGACAGTGTGGAAAGTTGACGACTCTGAGCGCGCTCTTCTTGGGCGCTTCAAGCTGGTTTCGGGCGACTTGTGGTCCAGCCGTTAATCGCAATCGTAATCGCAATCGCCTGGAAGGTAGGCAGTCCCGGACGCAGGCGTGTCTGACGGGACAGTCGGGGGCCTCGGGGCGCCCCCTCCCCCTCCCCTCCCCCGCCCGGTCTGTCTTTTAAGTCACTGCGCACTAATTACACCCCTGATTGACTGCACGTTGTTCTTCCTCGCGTCAAAGTCGTCCGCCTGCCTGTCTGTCCGTCCGTCCGTCCGTCCGTCTGTCCGTCTGTTTGCCCTGCGAGCCAGCACGCGAACACGTGCACGCCGAGCAAACACATGAATACATACGTATGATAAGGGGAGGGGGAGCGCAGCGCAAGAGGGGTGGTGGAGGGGAGGGGGAGGAGGGGATGGGAGGGGAGGGGAGGAGGGGATGAAGGGGAGGAGGGGATGAAGGGAAGGGGGGAGAGAGAGGGACGCATGAAAGGGTTGCTTTGCTTTGCAGTTGGTGCCATATTATTTTTACGCAGCTCCGCGCCCAGCAAACCGATTTACCGGCCGGGTTCATTGTGTGTGTGCACGGCACGGCACGGCACGGCACGGGGACGCACGGACGGACACACGGGCGACCGGGCGTGTTGCACGACGCTGCAGCAAGGAGAGCAAAACGCCTGGCTGGTCCCCGCTGGTCCGGCGGCGCGTTTTAAAACCCCCTTCGCC